CTCTGCGCTCCTTGGGGAAGGACATGAAGGAAGCAGGGAGGGGACCCTGCCCCAAAATGGCCCACAGTGGTGCTCATCCTTGGGGCACCCTGGGGCTATGCAGCTGTCTTGGCCACTGCACTTTTCCACCCCTCTAAAAAAAGGTTTCCTCCTTTAGAAAGTGCAAGTGGTCATCACAGTGCTGGACTACGACAAGCTGGGGAAGAACGAAGCCATCGGCAAGATCTTCACAGGCTTGAACTCCACCGGCACGGAGCTGCGGCACTGGTCCGACATGCTGGCCAACCCTCGGCGGCCCATTGCCCAGTGGCACTCGCTGAAGCCAGAGGAAGAAGTAGATGCAGCTCTCGGGAAAAACAAATAGGCAGCTCTGCCAGCCGGCGCGGCACTGCGGACAGTTGAGCCAGAGCTACTGATACCTCAGTTCTGCAACCTCCCTTTAGTTTTTGTTCTGTTTTAAGCTGAAATGCCCTTCGATGCCTCTGGAAGGGTATCCAGGCAGTCCCAATAGCTTCCAGGGGAAGAGGTTAAAGACATGGATGGTTCTTTTTGTTCTTCAGCATCGCTCCCATGCTGCATGTCCCATTGCCTCTGCTCGCCATCCCTTCCCAGAGCAAAGCCATGGCACACCTGGGACCTTCCCCGGCAGCTGTGTCACCAGCCTGCAGCATTGCTGACACCATCCTGCCCTTGGGATCATGTGGGGAGCCATGGAATCTTGCATGGAGGTGATACTGGAGCCTGATGGTGCGAGATGACCAGACCCACTGTACTTGGTTGGGGCATGACCAGCAGTGAGACAGAAAAACGGTGCAGAAGACCCTCTGAAGAGACCCAGGAGTCTCCCCCTGGCCCTCCCCAAGGAAGGCTGAGTACCCCTGGACAGCTCCAGGTTTGGATTCTCTGAGAAGAGGCTTGCAGGGGCCATGGATCCTGCTGTGGTGGTGGGGTGCCAAGCCCTCAGTGTTGCAGCAGGAGCTGTGGAGGCCAGTCTGGGCACAGAGACCTTCAGGAAGGCTGCTCCAAGGAGACACAGGGTGAAATGTGGATGCACCAGCAGCACTGTGTGGATGGCCACCACCAGCAGCACCACAACCTCTGTTTTGTCCCCAGAGGGGCAGCGCTGGGTGATTTGCATCTGTGTCCCTCCATGCTTGGTGAATCCCAAAGATCAAAATGCTTCCACAAGGCAGGTTTACAGTGAGGGGTCTCCAGATCCAGGTGTGTCCCCAGAGACCGTCCATCGCATGTCCTGCCATTGCTGTGGGCACCTCAGCCTCAGGGCAGCCGGGGGGCCGTGGGGAGCTCCAGCCCCACCCAGCTGTGGGTGGGGATGGCAAGAGAAAGCATGGGGCCAACAAGGGACCAAAGCCCCCGACCCCCATGAGCTGCTACTCCCCACCAGGCCACTGGCTGTTAAACCTACCCTGTCCTGCTCCCCTCGGGGGTATAAGCCATATCCATGACCCTGACAGTGGCTAAGAGCTTCTCTAGGCTACTTCTGCCACTGTCCCAGAAAAGCCTCTGAGCCAGGAAGCCAACCCAGTTCTGTGCAGCTGGGAGAGGGTCCAGCAGCCCTGCCCCATCTGTAGTGGAACACTGATGTTATCTCATGTGCCTGTCCCTGCTCCAGCTCCTCAGCAGCCTCTCACTCTGCTCCCTTTGGCTTCCTGGGACTCAGTGCTGGGCGTTCTGGCACCGCAGCAGTGAAGGGTCACGCCCCAGGGACGTGCTGGCACTGGGGACGCTGCTCTGGGCGTTCAGCACCTGGGCTGGGACCATGGTGCAGGGTCTCCCGGGTCCAGGGACACAGTGCCAAAATCAAGCTCATCCCAGTGCTGTCGGATGCTTTAGCACCTCCCACAGCTCTGACTTCCCAAAGAGCATCCTGGCCCTCTCCAGAGGTGGGGAGACGATGGGAAACTTGGTGGCAGTCACCACATTTGAAACTTGGCTCAGGGGGTTCAAATGGACATGGGGATTGTCCCTGGAGGGTTGTGCAGCTCTGGGACAGGTCCCCAGGGCAGGACATCTCTGTGGGAGGTTTGGGGCTTGGATGGCTGAGCTGCAGTGTGGGAAGGGGATGTTGGACAGGCACCTCTAATAACCACCTCCACCACCACTGCAGCTGCACTTGGCCCATGCCCTGGTGAAGGTAGCACTGGGGCCATGCTGGGTCTGCAGGGGTCATCCAGCCAGTGGTCTCTCAGGGCCATCTCCAGCTTTAATTAGTCCCTTTTCCTAATGGATGTGTCATTGTCAACAGATGGGGTCCTGCCCTGCCCTGGAGCCAAAGGGAGAAGAAGTCTTTGGATGCTTTTAATAATGGGGAGCTGGAGGGGGGCCGATGCCCCATGGTCAGGAGCACTGGTAGGACTCAGTCTCATTTTGGGGTCCATCCAGGCACTGGGGGGTGTGGGGTGTGTGGAGGCATTTGCCTTACATGGAATGGGCTAAAAGAGGAGGAATTATAAAAAACACTGAAATCCTACTGTTTGCAGCCAGCAAGTGTGCATGGCCCCACAGCCTTCCCAGGGAAGCAGGTGGAGGTGTGTACACCCACACACCTGCACTTCAGCACATCACACCTGCACACCTGCACACCACATCTGCACACCTGCACACGCCAGATGCACCCCCTCCTGTGCACTACCCTCCACCCCTCCGCCCCCAGACCCAACGCATCGGCCGGGGCCTGGGGATCCAGGCCAGGAGCGGCCATCCCACCTGGCTGCTTTCCATTCAGACTCTTTAAGCCTCGGGGGAGGGGGAAGACTGTGACTTTAATACATGATTTAGTTTTTTTTTTAATAAAAAAAGGGAAAACCAACCAACATCCTGAAGCCATCTGCGCTGCCTCTGACCCGCCCCTTAGCTGTGTGTAGGTAAATGATATGGAGACATAGCTGTATATACCACGAGCAGTGCATGCGACGCAGCCACGTAGCAGCAGCAGCAGCAGCAGCATGGCCCCGGCACTGCCGTCCCCATCTCCGGCCGCCCGCCAGGGAGGAGGCGGCGACTACCAAAACCCATCGCTCGAGAGCTCTCCACCGCCCTGATTTCCCCCCTCCCCCCCGGATAAAATTAAACCCCCCAATTAAATAATATAAAAGAAGAAAATAATGCCAAGAAGCAAAGCATGCCAAGCCCGACCCGCCAGCGGAGAGCGAGCTCTCACGGACGCAGTCCATGTGTCGTGTTCCCGTATCTTGTCGCGTTTGTCCCACGGCCGGGTAGCAGCAACATCGTGGCTTCGGTGTCCTGTGTCGCGTTGGTGCATTTCACCGTCAGAGCAACTTTAGAAGCCATATTAGAGCACGGCGCACCCCACGGGGACAGGCCCACGGTGAGCCGTGACCCCCTTCCCCCATGTGTCCGCGTCCCCCCGGCTCCGTGGGGCTCAGGCTGCCGGAGCCGCAGCGGCCCCCGGCCCGCTGCCCTTGGGTCGCGCCGGGACAACGCTGGGCACGTGTTGGGGTCGACCTGCTGGTGGTGCAAAGGCTTTCTGGAGCAATTTGGGTTATTTCTGCCATGTCCAGTCGGTGGTCTCTGTTTTGGGGACGAGAGCTGGCTTTTCCCTCTCCTGGCGGCACCGCGGAGCAAACCCAGCTGTGCCACGGAGATGCTCCCGGGGTTAAAAAAGGAAGTGAATCCACGAGTCTTGGCAACCTGCTTGGGTTCCTTTTCCTTTTTTTCTCCCGATCTGGGAGGGAGGAGCCAGCTCCTTTGGGAGTCGCAGGCTCGGCCGTTCTTGGTCCCGCAGTGCCGGCCCCGTCCCAGCCCCGCAGCGCTCGGCTCCGGCGGAAGCTGCTTTTAATGCCCCTTCCCTTCGTGTGGACTCTGTCGTTCCGTCTCTGATCGTTTGATGGTTATTTTGTAATTATTTACGTCTCCTTATTAAAGAAATGAGCTGAAAGGAGCTGGTTCCCTTCTGGTCTTGCTGCTGGGGCTCACGGAGCATCCGCGGGGAGGGGCAAGAGCCAGGGCAGCGAGCCCAGGGATGATGGAGGGATGGAGGTGCGGGTGGAACCCCACAAGGGCCCGCGTCCCCCAAAACACGGAATCAGGAAATCACTTAGGTTGGAAAGACCCTCTTAAGATCATGGAGTTAAGCCAGCACTGCCACGTTTACCACTAAACCATGGCCCAGGTGTCGCATTCACACCCCATTTGAACACTTCAAGAGGTGGCGACTTCGCCGCTGCCCTGGGCAGCTGTGCAACTGCCTGACACCCTTTTCAGGGGAGAACTTCTCCCCATTATCCAACCTAAACCTCCCCTGGCACAACTTGAGGCCATTTCCCATTTCATCTTGCCCTGTCCCTGTTCCCTGGAGCAGAGCCCGACATCCCCCGGCTGTCCCCTCCTGTTCAGGGAGATGTGCAGAGCCAGAAGGTTCCCCGAGCCTCCTGTGCTCCAGGCTGAGCCCTCCAGCTCCCTCTGATTAGTGCTCTGAGCAGCCTTAACCCCAGTTGAGCAAGTCTGGACCGGACATGGGGCACAGGTGGGAAATACCAAAGGTCCCCACAGAATTCTTTGCCCCCCGGCACAGAGTCTGGTCCACAGTCACATTCTGCCCCACAGGGATGCTGGACACACCCAACCCTAAGGGAAGATTTTAACCTGCACCAACCACCTTTGAAGACTGGAACATGTGGAGATTCCAGCAGATTCATCTGAGACAGAGGTTCCCAGATGTGGCACCACCTCCTGCCTGTGCCACACTCTGCTGACCAAACTTCTGAGCAGAGCTAAAACAAGGCTTGCCACCAGAGTGGGAAATGGGCCTGATCCCCAGTGTGGTGCCCCCTCCTGTTTTATCTTCCCACTGGTGGGAAGCTTTTCAGGGATGTGCATCCCAGTTCCTTTATTTCAGCTTCCCCTGAAAAGGCACCTGTACTGTAGCTGTAAAATGCTTGTGCTTTTATGGATGATGGATATTGTTATGCCAGAGAACTGTGGGAGAAACAGGGAATTTTAGCACAAACAACTTGCAATTCCAGAAAGATGGAAGCAAAGTCAAAGCTTCTATTTTATTAATTCTTACTTTATTCATTTATAAATACTGTTGTGTTTACAAGCATCATAGCTGTGAATATTATTCCCAAACTTTCAAACACATAATACTTATAATACTATATAACAACAACCAGTAAAACAAATCATTCATCTCAGGGTTTGAAAGGCCACTCAAAAGTTGCATAAAAATACATTCTCTCCCCATCTCGTCCGCCAGTCCTGCTTCTCCAAGGAGTTTATTTACAAAGAGCCATCACCAAACTTGCAGCCAGAACAGGTGGGTTCACCCCAAGCAATAAAAATTAACTCACCCCAAGCAATTGCTTAGAAAAAAAAGCTCATGTTCCCCAAGGGAGACCATGTCTGGCAAATGCTCTGGTTCCAAGAGGGATCAATTTTAAAACCTATCGCCAAGCACAGGGTTTGAGGTGTTCTGTTTGTCACCTCCTCAGTGCACTGGTTATGTCAGGCATGAAGTGAGAAAAAAAAAAAAAATCCATTCTCAAGAATTTGATTTGCAGTTGTGCTGTCACCACGAGATGCTCACAGCTTTGGCTGATCAGGGACACTGAGCTGTGGGGGCCCAGAGCTCGGGAGAATCCAGTGCTAAGCAGATACTTCATCTAAAGTGGTTTGGCTTTGCAAGGGGCCACTCAGAGGAATGAGCCTCCCACAGCCTTTGCACTCTGCTCCTTGGGAAAAAGCACAGTGAGTGTCCTGGTAACAAAAACAGGGGCAAAACATCAGTGCGGGATGGATTTGTCAGGTTGGGTTGAACCCTCTCCCTAAAACAGACACCAGGCTTCTTCCTGCTGCCAGGAACCTGCCTGTGAGAACAGGATCTTGATTCTGAACTCTCCTCCTCATCCTGCTGGGATGCATGGCCTGAGGTGCCAGCCCAGCTGGGGAGCATCTCCTCCTCCACGTGGCACAGACAGGACCGGGCTCCTGATCCCTGATCTGAGCAGAGCAGAGCCCGAGGCTGAAGCGAGGAGTGGTAACCAAGAGAGAAAACATCAAGAACGGCAGAAGTACTCACAGAAAGAGTGCACCAAGAGGGAACGGCGTGCAGGGCAAGCACTGACTGGATCTCAAGACTTAAAGCTGTTAAATAGAGCAGGGTTCAAATCAAGGAATATAAAAAGGATGCCTGGCTTAGGCAGTGCTCTGCAGAAACCCTGATGCCTTTACCAGCTTTGGTCTCTTCCTCCCAAAGCTCAGCAGCAGAGGCAGGGCCTCAGTGTACCAGGAGAAACGGTGCCTCAGCTGCACAAACGGCTCCACCAGCTGAAGAGCAACTTGTGGTCAGAGCTGCCTGGGGAGAACTGGCAGCTTCAGGAAGAGCAAGAGAGGTGGAAACAGGCAGGACAGGGAGGGGAAGGGGGGAAATGGAGAATTAGGGAGGAAAAAAACCAAAGAGAGAAAACCCCAGAGAGAGGACAATAGAGATGCTTTCTGAGGCAATAACCAGCAAAAGGTTTGAAAAAGCCCAGGACTGCCCAACAGAGGTCTAAGTTTCACCCTGCTGAGCAAGCTCAAGTATTCTGCTCATGTTCAAGTATCTCATCTCTCTAGTTGTGGAGAGTCCCCCCAGCCAGAGCCAGCAGAGCTGCTCAGGAACGTGGTACAGCTGCTCCATGGCCACCTCCAGGTTCAGTGACCAAGAACTGCTGCCCTTGGCCAGAGAGAGCCTGGGGAGTTGAAGGACAAAGGGGATGAAAGGACAAATATGGAAGGATGTAGATGGGAGACTGTTTTGGATACAGCAGGATGTCTCTGAGAGGGAAGATACTGTTTGAGAGGAGTCTGTTAATGGGAAGCTGAACAGACCTGATGAACAGTCCCACAGCATGGAGAGAGGAGCCAATGTCCAAATGCCCATGGGAGAGAACAATTCCAAACTGTTTAGAGTGCACGTAACATTTAAGAGGAGTATTTCTGGGGGTTTCCTTCAAGGTCAAAGCTTATCACAAATTTCTGACAGGTCAGAAGACTTTCATAATGATGATTCAGTTACCAGCAGCTCCTTGTCCCTCTGACACCGACACACCCTGACTTCTCCAAGGTGTGTAGGACAGGATGCTGGCATTCTCTGTCTACAAATCCTGCTGCTAATCAAAGGGAGGGTACCTGAAATACCAGACCAGGCTCTGCTATGGGGCTCTCCCTTCAGGGAGGCAGCGGGAGAATATCCCAGATGGCTTTTGGGGAGGGGAGGCTGGTTTCTGGCACGGGCACAGCTCCCTGCAAGGTGATTCCCACTCACACACAGGTTAGAGCAGCAGAGGATCTGTAGGGGTTCAAGTTTGTCCTTCAGAAAGCTCAGCAAGTGCCTGGGATATATCCTGTCCCAAGGAACAAGTGTCCAGGTGGCAACTGGATGCTACCAAGCACAGAGACAGGAGCCCTGGAAGGACACAGTGTGACACAGGATCACCCAGGCTGTGGGGGAAAGGGAGGATGAGGAATAAGGGTCTGACACTGAGTGTCAGCATTGATGTTACTGAACAGGTTCAAAATCTTATCTAAGATAGAAGACTTAGTCTACTGGGACAAGAAGAGAAGGTGTCTGTGCAAAACAGCTCATCAGCCTGTGACAAACATTAGCTCTGGTGGCTTTCACAGCATCACGTTTAACCAGAGTCCCACATCTCTCACTGGGCTGATGTGCATCCTCAGAGTCCCAGCCCATGTTCACATTTCCCACCTGTAAAGGGTTTGGATATGCTGGGTTAGTTCTTCAGATGTCACTTTTTGCAGTAGGAGCTTCCCACTCCAGGTCAGAGTCCAAAACCAAATACTGAGCTTTTGGAAGAAGTTTTGGCAGCTCAAACCCAGTCCTCACATTTCTCCCTTGAATAAAATGTCCGAGATACCACAACATGCATAAGTTAAAAAAAATAAAATGGCAGGGGGTGTGTTGGGGGGAAATAGGGGTAGAAAGGGAATGTACAGCAAAGGGCAGGGCAAGGCAGGTGTGACATTGATCCCACAGCTGAAACGCTTGCTGTACGTGACGGGAAGAAAGGGGGTAGGGCTCGGTGGTGGGGTTGGCAGCTGGTGTAGGACACCCCTCCTCGTCCTTCCTTTGCTCTGGATTCCTATTTGGAGAGTTTGCTGATGACACGAATGAGGGCTCCGTTCTCATCCTTCAGCCTTTGGTTGTCTGACTTCAGCTCTGTCAAAATCTGTGGAGAGACAAAGTGGGATCAGAGGGGCTCAGGGGGCCAAAGGGGACACTGCATCCCCTCCACCCAGCACACTTCCATGGCTCTGCAGCATCTCCAGAGCTTTGACAAGCTGGCTGCCAGGCGTGAGGGGTGAGAGGGGCCTCGAGCACAGCACTGACCAGGGAGCCCCGAGCCAGGGAGCCCCTGGTGCAAAGCAAGGCCACAGCCCCAGCAGCAGGTCAGGACCAGACCAGCAGGCAAGTAAGCTGGTTTTCCTGATATGCTTTTTCCATTTTGCCAGGACTAGAAGGGAAACCAAAGGTCTGGAATCTTCATTTAGGACTGGACCTTGCCAAATCTCTTTAGAATACCCACAAATCTCCTTGGGACCCTACAGATGTGTAACAGAGTCTCCAGTGCCAAGGCCAGAGGACTGGTAGAACACGGGAGGTACCTCCTGGATGCTCAACTGAGGCTGCAACAGACAAAAGCCTTTGGAAATAGAGAAGAATAGCTTCAACAAGACCCTTCCAGTATTTCCCATTGTTAAACCCTGCTGACTTCCTGTGCTGCAGTAGGTGATGTTCTGTGGGTCGTTCCCAGCCACTGGGCACCAGAGGGAGACCCCTGCTCCTGTCTGGGGATGACACACAAGGGGTCACTCCCACCACAGGTGCCAGCACATCACAGGGCGAGCAGCCCCAAGCCATGGTACCTGTATGAGCTCAGCCATGACTTCTGTCTGCCAAGGTGCATCTTGGAGGAATTCCCTCAAATTAAAAATCTGCACTAAATCTTCTCCTTCCTCTTAACCTGGTGTTTTAGCTTTGACCACAAAGTTCTGCCCTGCTCCACCTCCAGTCCCTCCATTATCACCAGCTCTGAGTGTGGGCAGCTCCTGGGGCAGTACCAACTCCCACCAGAGCAATTCCCTTCTTCCACAGCTGGGCCAAACTATGGTGGGCCCCAACACACCCAACTGCATCCCTGTGGGCACTGCTGGTGGATGTTTCGGGTGGGAGGATTTTTAGAGAGGGAGGAGGGGTTGGTGCTGCATGGTAGGATATTGTGGGAAGGGTAAATCCGTGTGCTGGGCTGGCCAGAGCTCCAGCCAGTGCTGCTGAGTGTGCCTCCCTGGACCCAGTGCTGGTGTGACAGGTGCATCTCCATGGCTGGGCTGTCACCAGAACAGCACTCCTGGCTCCTTGTGCCACTTCTCATGGCCAAATAAGAGGCATTGCCATCACCATCCCCCAAGTGATCAGGAACTCAGAGACACAGCAGAGCTCTTGATGTCTCTGCATTGCTCTGTTCCCTCCTGAGCTTCACTTGCCACTCACACTGGTGCTTCCCAGTGCCCTGCAAGACCCCCACCACCCACTGGGCAGTCCTGTCAGGCCCCTGTCACTGCCTGGGGTGGCTCTGCAGTGCCCATTGCTGTGAAAATGGGCATATGAAGTCCCAACACTTGTTTTGGTAGAGAGAATTTGTCACAGTTCCCAGAAATGCTGGGAGAGAACTGCTCCAGTCCCAGGCCTCAGCTGGAGCCTGATGGGGCTGTGCCTCACGGGGGGCTTCGTGCGACCTGTGTCACTTATTTGAAAATGAAGGAGTGTAAGCACATGCTAAATAAGTGCCTCTGGACACATTTCCTGGTCATAACCCAGCTCCACCAGTGCCCAGTGAGGATTCCTGAAAGCTACACGTCAGCCTCAGACAACACAAGCCCAGGGCGTTCCTCCCTTTGAAGCAGAGTAGTCTCGAGTCAGGTGAAATGAAGCCCATGGGAACAGGCTGGGAGTTTCTGGCAGCTTTGCAGATGTCTCACAGGAATGGTGAGCAGGGATGTGGCCCAGCCCCAGGAATGGCAGGGCTGCCCATGATGCAGCGTTGTGTCACCTCGCTTTGGGCTGCAGGCTGCTCTGAGCAGCAGGGCTGTGTGCAACCTGGGCCACTGGAGAACACGGCTCCTCAGAAGCCATGTGCACTCAGGAAGATGAGATTCACTGAAAAGCACTGCTGCCAGAGCGTGGTACATCTGGCAGAGCTTAAACCAGTGACATCACTGTACAGCTGTGATGTCCACAGACACCACTGCAGCAGTTTACACGTACCAGCAACATCCTGTGTTAGACCTACTAAAAGAGCTGAAAATAAATCAGCAGAGCTCACAGACCATGGCTCTCCCCCAGCTTGGGCACTGGCAGGGCAGTGATAACATGGGCACATCCTGGGAGGAGGAGAGGTGACTTGCAGGTCGTGAAACATCATTTCTTTGAGTCTGGAAATAATTTTACCCAATTTTCCCTCTCAGATCTCAAAGCATATGGGGAAGGAGAATGACTTAAACTCACAGTTTATGAGAAGAAATGCGGCAGGGTCAGGTTGGAGGATTAAAACCAAAAAGGCTGAGAGATCATTTCACCTGACCATCTGCACAATCCAGGGCACACAATGTAACACCCAGCTCTCCTGGCCCTTGTGACACACATGTGGGCTTGAGCTGAGACTCCTGGAAAGGGGAAGCCACAATTCCCCTGATTAGTTTGTTTCTATGGTTAATCAGCCTTGATATAATTTGTGTGCTAAGAATAGATTTTTTATTCTGTGGTGCCATTTCCAGCCCAGAAGAGCACACAACTTCTTGTGTCCCAAGGGATGTGAATATCCCTACCAACCTGCAAAGGATAGGTAGGGCTCGGGAAAGGAGCATTTACAGATTTATTTTAGCATTGAACCAATGAAGTTAGCAGGAAGAGATGCAATTTAACCGTGTGATATGTTAGGGCAAAGCTTAGGGAAGAATCATCCTTGGGTTTCCACCATTAATTGTCCTGCACTGGATTTAAAACAGAAGATGAAAATAGAGTGCTCCTGGTCTGGCTCCTGCTGCATCCCCCTCTCTGTGCCAGCCCACAGGAGGCAGGGGGGGAGCTGAGCCTGTGGACTCATACTGAAAAAAATAAGTTTAAAATAAGGAAAGGAGCTTGTCCTTTTTGTTCAAGTGACCAAGAAAACGTGTTGAGGACAACTCAGTTTGTAGTCTTTCTAAACATACCCTTTCTGTCTAAAATGTTTGCTTTTCACAACATCCCTGAAAACTTCTTGACTTTGGATAATCTGCTTTGCTGAGTGCCAGCTTCTCCCTGAACTAAGTCAAATTAAAAAAGAATTATATTATAAGCAGACATGTAGCATAAACCACCTATTTTTAGGTGTCCAAGACCAGGTTGGACAGGGCTTGGAGCAACCTGGTCTAGTGGAAGGTGTCCCTGCCCATGGCAGGGGGTGGAACGAGATGAACTTTAATGCCCCTTCCAACACAAACCATTCTGTGGGTATGTTTCAAGGCAAAGTACCAGGCAAGGAGCTGCTGGCACTGCCAAGCCACCCCAAAGCCATTCCCCAGTGCTAAGCTGGCAAGGGCAGCAGCATCTGCCAAGCAGAGCAAGAGCCAGCAGGGTGAGCAGAGCTCCAGCAAAGCCCTGCCGTGGCAGCAGCACCATGCTCTTGGAATTTGGAGATCCTCTGCCACAAGCTTTGGAGGCACAAGCTTCACCAGACACCCTGGAGAGCAGAGGCGAGCGGGAAGCGCCTGGCCAGGAGCGAGACCTGCCTGGAAGAGTGGAAGAGGGAGGCAAGATGAGCCGGAGGGAAAGCAGCTACAGCTCCTCTGATTCCGAGGGCTTGGCGGGCAGAGAAAGTCTGGCTACGACCCGGGTCAGAGCCCTGTTCTCAGCCAGCAGTTGCTCATTCATCTGCCTCAGAGTGTGAATCTGTTTGAGCTGGTGGAGATTCTGCAGAGTGAAAGGAGTGGACAGAGAAATACAGAGAGAACATCATGGAAACGAATGGGCACAGAAATGGGAGTTTAGTCCATAGGCAGTGAAACAAAAGAAGAGAATAAAAGAAATTAGTAGCAGTGAGTGCTGGATGAGGAAAGCCTGACAACACACCAAGGATATTCTGGAAATCAGCCCTTTCTCCAGGGGCCCCCAAAGTCTTAAAAAAGGTCAACTACAGGGATTTCCCACCACAAAGAAGGATTATATTCTAGTTTATCCAGACAGCCCTGGGACTTGGGAAATGCTGTTAGACCTATCACCAGTGATTTAACACCTACAGAGGCTCCCAGAGCACTGCTGGGAACTGAGAATTTCTTTAAAACTCCTTCATGTATCTCTAGAAGCCAAAGCATCTGTGTGGAGTAAAGAGAAATCAGAACTTCCTACAAGATCCCAAAGGCACAGACAGAAGCACCTAAAAGTGTCACTGCCCACAGCAGATCACTGAGACAGGTACTGTGTCTGCTTGTGTCTCTCATCCTTAAGTGATGCTCCTGGGTCTGTCTAGGCTCAGTTCTGACAAATCCTCTGGGGTTTGGGAGGGTTTCTCATCCCTGCCCAGATTCAACTCTTCTCTGTCTCAGGGCCCAATTTATCTCTGACCTTCAGAGGGGACGACTCTGAACCTCTTAAACTGCTCATTTTAGGAAGAGGAGCCTGAATGAGAGCATCTTCCACAGTGGGGATGTATCAGGAGGGCATTCCTAGTGACAAAGGCAATGAGGGGCACAGGACAGGGCAGAGACCAAGCCCCACACTTGGGCTTGCACAGGAACTGACTGGACATGGGTACAAACTGGGGCTCACACAAGTACAAACAGGACACAGGTACAAACTGGACATGGGTACCAACTGGGGCTTGCACAGGTGCAGCAGCAAAGGGAGGTTGGGAACAGAAGAGCCATGAGGAAGCAGAACAGGGAAATGGTACAAGCCATGCAGGCCAGGGCCACAAGGATGACACTGTTCCCAGCAATGCCAAAGTGAATTAATGTGCTGGACATTTACACTACTGCAGGTGCCAGGAGATACCAAGAGCTGTGGAGCTGCTTCCTGAGCAGCATCCCTGCCCTCCTTCCTTCTGAGGGGTTGGGCAGCTGGGCCACGAGAAAAAGAACCCCTCCTGAGCAAGAACCCATCCTGCATGATGGAGGGAGCCCTAACACTGGGCAGGGGCAGGCAGGAAACATCCACAAGAAGAGTTGTAAATTCAAGTGACAAAATCCCAGTCCCAAACCAAAGCAATCCCACAAAGCACCATATTCCTCCCCATGTCCACTTAGTGGACAGAGGGAAGGGTCTATGGGGAAGAGGGCTCCTTTCTACCATTTCATTACCAAAAGGCACTCAAAGGGAGGTGCTGTCTGTCCTGAACAAGGAGCACCATGAAAGAATCTACGGTGACACAAAGACAGTGACCATCCACCCAACCTGCACTACTCAGGTTGCCCAGAGCTTGGAGCAACATGGGATGGTGGAAGGGGTCTCTGCCCATGGCAGGGGGTAAATGAGAAGGGCATCTTCCAACCCAAACCAGTCTGGGGTTTTGTATGTCCCAGAGCTGACTGCAGCTGGCAAGGAATCTGCTTTGTCCCAGGACATTTTGTCCAAGGGCTCACTTCTGTACAAAACTGAAGCACTCTGTATATCCCCCAACCATCAGCTCCATTTTTAGCTGCCCAAAAGCACTACATTTACCCTCCATGACAGAGTGAAGACATCTCTTTGAACAGCTTGAAAAAACCAAGAGAAGCAAGACAGGAAGGCAGGGAGCCAGCAAAGGATGGGGTTTGAGGCCCTGAGATCATCAAACTGACAGAGCAGCTCCTGGGACACATACACACAATTCTGACACTGGATGATCAACAGATCCCAAGACAGAGCTACAGCAAACAAACTGCAGGAAAGCTGCAGGGACACCTCAGCAGTGAGATCCCTGCTCACCATATCCCATCCATCCATCCATCCATCCATCCATCCATCCATCCATCCATCCCTTCACCTGCCCAAGATTTGCTGGCTGCCACTGTGCTCAGTGAGGACAGATGGACATAGCACAGCTGTCCTGTGATACATCACACCAGGAGCTGCTGGAAGATGGTTGTACTGGAATAGTCACTTCTTTTGATAGCACCAAAAATGGTTGAGGGCACTTGGTCTGTTCACTCTGGAGAAAAGGAGCCTGAGGTCAGCCCTCACCGGGGGCTGCAGCTCCTCCCAAGGGGCAGCTCCAATCTCTGCTCTCTGAGCAGGGACAGGACCCAGGGAGCAGCTGAAGCTGTGTCAGGGGAGATTTAGGTTGGGTATCAGGAAAAGGCTCTTCCCCAGAGGGTGCTGGCACTGCCCAGGCTGCCCAGGGAATGGGCACGGCCCTGAGGCTGCCAGAGCTCCAGGAGTGTTTGGACAGAGCTGCCAGGGGTGCCCAGGGTGGGATTGTTGGGGTCTGTGCAGGGCAGGGGTTGGACTGTGGGTCCCTTTCAATTCAGGATATTCCACGATTTTATGATACACAGATAACAAAGACCCTCTGTTTTATAACAGGGCTCACAGCTGGCAGAAAGCATCTAACATACATAGTAGGGGCACCGTGCTATGAGAGCTGGAAAGGACTGTCATAATTTCAGAGACCACCTTTGTTTTTCCACACCAGCACAGCGCAGAACCTCAGCATGGTCCCATCAACCACTGCTCAGCCTCCACATGCTGCACAGCCCACAGAAAGGGTGATTTCTGTGAAAATGTGTGTGTGCTGCAGGTAGGCCAGGCTTCTTTTTATGCACCAAATCCAGCAAAGGCTGGGAAGCTGGGACTGAAGCCAAGGGCAAAGAGCAGGATCTGGATGATACCGCTGTGATTGCTTATCACTCTGCTTGATACTTGGCTTAGCAAAAACAGGTTTCTCAGTTCTCTGTACCTGCCTTCAATTAACAGATTTTGTGCCTGCAACACTAAATAAAAATGCCCAGAGCCTGCACGATGGCTGAAGCCAGGAACTACAGCATTGCTGTGCAATAAAGGAGCTTCTGTGACCTTCAAGAACAATTGCTGTGTTAGGTTGGGACCTCGGGCACTTGGCATTGAATTCAGCTCAGTGCAAATGTTAATTTTCTTTCTCCTGCCTCAGCCAAGGTTCTGGATCTCCAAACTGTGCACTCAGGAAATGCTGCATTGCTCTGTCAACTTTGCAAGAGAAGGTCTGAGGAGCAGCTCTGCCACCAAGGTTCTTCAAGTTACCAAGCCTGTCTTGCTCCTCTACACTTCTCTATGGCTTTGGTAGCAGGGGTCACATTCCAGACAGGAACAAAGCTTATTCTCTCAAACACAGGCTGAAGTACTGTACATTTCTGTCATCTCTGCCTCCTCTTCCTCAAAAGTCAGCTGCAAGGAGAGGACAGCCAGGACATCTCATGTACACAACTGGACAGACACTCCTGGATCCAACAGCTGGATGTGAGTCTTGCTGGATTCAAAGACTAGTGGGAAGAATTCCCCAAAACAACCTGAGACCTAATCACCTGACAGGTTTGGTTGTTTCCACTTGCTGCTTTCCACATTGAAGGAAACTGGTGGATTTGCCTTTTCCTTCACAATTCCTTACTTATTCCTTCTGACTCTGCACAACAGCTACTCAGGTAGTGCAAGGAGCAAGAATGAAAGTCCAGACAGAATGAGTAGATTCCTTCCTGGCTCATCTCCCACACTAGTGACTAACAGGGATGCTCTGCAGAGGTTTATCTCCCTCCAGGCAAACAGCAGGGCTGTTTTGCCCACAAACAGCAGGGCTGTTTTGCCCACTTCAAGGTATCATGAAAGTGATCACAACAGTTTCCTTTTGGAAAGGTCCAATTCAATGTTTCTTTCTTAAGAGATTTTATATTCCTTTTTTTTGAGTCAAACATGTCAAACAAGACAGTGCCCTCAGGTACTCACTACATGCTTAAGGTTTTGTAAAAACTAGTAAAAATGTAGTAGCATCTCAGAAAAGAGATTTTCCAAATTCCTGTCTATTTGTTCTACTAACAAAAGGCCACTTTGGTTGTCCGATGCAGCAAGAACAGGCAGAGAGCAGAGTGAGCACCACTCTCAAGGACCTGAAGCTCATTTTCAGCTGGACCACAGGTTCCTTCAGCTCATGGGTCTCAAGGTAGTGTGCGAACATGTCCAACCTCCAGCAGCGCTTCTCCTGCACTGCCTTGGCTTCCATGGCTCTGCAGCTCCAGACCACCTGTACTGGAGGTGCTCTGGCTGTGTCCAGCTCACCCTACAGGCACCTTCCCTCATTAATTGCTTTCCAGAGCAGTATGTTTCCAGACTGAGGCCACTAGAGGCCACCACCTTGTCTTCTTACTCCATGGGCTGAAGTTGCAGGTTCGCAGTGATCTGCAGAGCTGAAGGACCAACACAAACTGCTCATGCCTGTATCTCTCCTGAAGACCACAATTCTGTAATTACAGGAAAGTCTCTGTGCAGTTAAAGGCTCCTAATTGCTCAATGAACAAAGAGTTTGGAATTTAGATATATTCAATCCCTTCTTCTTCTCCTCCTGGCTCACACACCTATGCTTATTTTCTCCACTCTGAGAGAACAAGAGCCTTTACAGCAAGAATCCACCATATAATCGTGCTACTCATTGCAGCAGAAGATGCAGCACAAGCCAATGGTCCTTTCAAAGGTATGTTCTTGGTAGAAACATAAAGCTTCAAATAGAAACAAAGTTGGAACTTCCTCCAGGGTGTCAGGAAGTCATTTCTGTCAGCACATGATGCCAGGGAAAGCTCTCAGGTGGGTCCTTTCTTCTGAGAGCAGCTTCTTGCCACCTGCTCATGCTGAAAGGGAAGGAAAGCACGGGGCAGAGCAAAGGGGATGCTCACTCTGTGAACACGGGCGCTGACAGGGCAGAAGGTGACACAGTGCTGCTGGGTGAGGCTGTAGGGTGTGTGGGCAGCCAGACGCTGCTGGGGCCCTGCAGGGCTCCCCTCACGGCCACAGCCGTCCTGGGAGCCACGCCATGGCAGCGAGAACGTGCCGGAGCACCAGTGGCATGGCTCGTGACAGCAAGCCATGCTGCACATCCCATCAGGAAGCAATTCCTCTTTGGAATTATCCCAGGCTGCCGTGGCCTCCCAGTGACATGCTTTGGGAAGGGAGCATAGGAACACGACCACTCTGTGTTTTATCCTGGCCAGTGTGCGTGAGACAAAAGCCAGCTTTGTCTTCTTACCCATCCGGAGAGAACCTCAGTGGCTTAACTTGGGCTGCAGACTAGTCAGAGCACAGGGGGTCAGCACACTGGAACTCAGCGATGCCACAAAAAGTTAGTTTGGGAAGGCTTTTAAGGAGAACAGCTTTCACCATTCTCAGATCAAACAGCAGAACAAATCAAACATAGGAGCAATCAGATGAATGAGAACCAGGACAGTTTATTAGCATTTCATGTTTGGAGAACAGGGCCATTAAAGCAAGTTCTGACTGCAGAAAGGAAAATGAGATCCTTCCCATGGACACCTTTAACATCCTCCTCCTGGGTGACAATCCCCAAAGACATGAATACAAAGCATATAAAATGGAATAGACAGAGTGAAGATTATTTCTTACCTTCATTTCCTCCTCCATTTCAGAGAGTTTCCGCTCCAGGGCTCGTTTCTCCTGTTTACAAGGATTTATGACAAAGAAGGTCACAAGGACTTGGAAGAAAAATTTACAGCATATTTTCTTTTAAAGAAAACTAGGAGTCTTGCGTTTCTGTAGCAGTATTCCCTGAAGAGTATCCCAAAGCAAGGCAGAGGTTACAACCAGGAGCTGATCAGATAGGAGAGGGCAGCTGGCAAACCAGCAGCGATATAAGCTGGGCCTGTCTGGGCAGATCACAAGCTCTATTCAAACCCCTAATGAAATTATTCCCCATTTTCAGTGATCCCAGTTCTCAGGAGCTGCTGATGTAATGTGATTTTGAGCTCTGTAGGTGAAGCCATAGATTTACTTATACTCCACTAAAGGTGGCAACAAGAAAAGTCACTGAGCTGCTCAAATAGGAAACAGAACAAGGAAATTCCCTGCCTGGAAATCCTGTTTCTCCCAGATAATCCAAGGCTGCAAAGCTGACTGCTTTTGGTGCATTTTAGAAAGTGAGGATTAGACTCTGCTGTGTGAGTGGCCTCAGCTATGCCTATGCCAAGGTAAGGAGAACTGAACTCCTTCAGTGACTTTCCCAAGGGGCTCAAACTGCTCCAGGGACAGGCCCTAAGAAAGGAGAAGTGGGAAACCTTCATCAAGGCCAAGATTTACACTCTCTGTTCTGCTCCTTTCCCCTGCGCAAAGAACTACAAGGGAAGCAGAGTGAGGAAAAAGCAGCATCCAAGTGTGCTGTGGATGATGAGTTTGCCCACAGCAAAAAGTTCATCCAGGGATTCATCAGTGCAAAATGCATGAGCCATCCTGGAAACAGTTAATGCATCTTCACTGAGAACAGCTGGACATGTTTTTACTTTCTAACTCACAGAATTTGTGGCTGTTGTGATCCTAATTGAACAGAAGTTATACAGGATGTTGCCCTGACTTCAACAAGGCCAAGTTCGAGGTCCTGCCCCTGGCTTGGGGCAATCCTTGGTATCAACCCAGGCTGGGGAACGAAGGGATTGAGAACAGCCCTTCCAGGATTTTCCCTTGCTCCCCCACCTCCCCAAACCAGTCTTTATTTGTAAGGATCAAAAATGTTTTAAAGTGTAATGGACCAACAGTCTCTCAGCGTGATACAATCCGTTGGGCCTCAGCTGCTTAGAACCAAAGAGAGGAATCAGAACAAAGCTGATGTGCAAAGAGAGCAGCAGAGTCTCAGGCCCTGCAAAGGTCAGAACACAATTATCATTGAGCACTGCTCCTCAAGGCAAAAATACAACTTATCTTTTAATTAATGCTTCCCTTCTAGAAATGACTGCCCTGCACAGCAACACGAAGCACTGTGACTCAGAAGAAAGCAGAGACACGTACCCTCTTCTCCATCTCCAGCATGCTGGACCGGTCAGAAGTTTTCTCCTGTTTCTGCTATGGAAATTAAAAATAGAAAGTGATTAAACTTGAGAGCACTCACAGGGTGCTGGACAAAGGCCAAGACAGCCTACAGATGCTCTTGCTTGGGATGCAACATGTTGATTTACAAAATTACTTGCTTATTTCTATCTCCTCTATGGCACCTTCCCTCCCAAGAACATCTTTCCAGGAGCTTCCCTCCCTTTCCTATTCTGAAACAAGTGCTGGTTTGTCATGGTCAGTATTCAGTTTCTCCAGTCAGGATCTGGATTTTTCCCTTACCTGGGCTGCTTTTTCCAACTTTGCTTTGATATCAGCCAGCTCAAGCTGGGCTTCTTGCAGCTTTGACTTCAGCTTTTGATTTTCAGACAGGGCACTCTCATACAACTGAAATGCAAAACAAGAGCTCAATTAACCAGGCTGCTCCTGGTTAATTAACCCCATCCTGCCACACTACTCTGAGCAGACACATGCCCTCAGCACTGAGCTGAGTGGATCACTTTGCTCCCACACATCAACAGATGAGAAGGGAAAACAAAACCAACTTGGATTCTTTACTTATGTTTTCATAATTAATGAATTAGAAATAAGAAAACAGCTGTTGAATTTTGTAAGGAGTTTAAATACAGACAAGAGGGGACAGTTTAAATTTAGGTAACTTTTTACTCACAGGGTGGTCAAACCCCAGCACAGGGTGCCCAGAGAAGATGTGGCTGCCTCATCCCTGGAAGTGTCCAGGCCCAGGCTTGACAGGACTTGGAGCAACCTGGATAGTGCAAGGTGTCCCTGCCCATGACAGGTGTGGAATGGGATGAGCTTTAAGGTCCCTTCCAACCCAAACCACTGGATTCTTTGAAACAGAGAAAATTAACATAAATGTCTTCTCTTTCTTCCCACTGATTCTCGGGGCCGGTTTCTGCAGCAACAGGCAGGTTCTGCAGTGTGTGCAGTGACAATAAGCAGTTTAAAAAATCCTACTTTCTTGTAGTCCCTGTTGCTCTCCTCCTCTGCCCGGCTGCTGAGGGCGGCGAGCCGGTTCTCCCGGCGGCTGTAGGCACTGGAGCGGCCGGAGGCACGGTCGCTGTAGGACGAGTCACTCGTGGTGGGGTTCGTAGCTGCTTCCAACCTGGAACAGGAGGAGGATCCAGCACTGTGGAGCTGTGGTAACTTGGAACAGCCAGCACAGGGCCCAGCTGGTTGGGACTGGGGGCTATGGCAGACCCAGCACCCTCCACTTGGCCCTGGGGATCGCTGCCCAAAACCCGGCAGCCACCGCCACTGCAACAACTGGAAAACATCCCAGGGTACCAGCCCAGGCTCCCATGGGCACTGGCTTCCCACGAACCTCTCATCTCCATGCTGGGATCCAGCTCCATTTCTAAGAGGGCACTGAGGTACATAATTTGGGGAGTAAAGAATAGAAGCAAACGGGTGCCACAGCTGAGCTCATGAAAGGACTAAATAGCCTGACCAGGCTGGATTTGAAGGACAGGGAATCCATCCTCAAAGCCATACAAAAACATGCTGCTAATAAATATTACACAAAAAAAAAAAAGAAAAAAAAAAAAAAAAAAAAAAAAAAAAAAAAAAAATAATAAAAGAAAAAAAAAAAAAGAAAAAAGAAAAAAAAAAAAGAAGAAAAAAAAAGGTAATTAATAACAAGAATTAAACATTCAATTCAAAAACTGCAGAGCTTCCAGGCAGCAGCAATTTCCCACCTCAGATACTAGCACCCAGCTCATGCCAGGCTACACAGAGATTTCCCAGCCCAAAGTGGGAATCTCCAATCTCTGTCTGAATCTTCAACTGCTTCAGCTCCTCTGAAGCACTTAGTTCAGTCACCTAAGAAATCCTGAATCTTGCTGTTCAAATCCTCATTTCCAGAACTGAAATGCCTTCCCTGCAATCCAAACTAATCCACTGTTTCCCTTTTCCAGTGAAGTTATTCTTCCTGACTATGATCACTGTGCTGTGTGTGATGTGGGTGCAGGAGAGTAACAGACACAGGGATCTCCCAGTGTTTGTGCTGAACTTGAGAAAATCACACACACTCTTCTCTCCATGGGCAAGCACCTCCCCGTGGAGAAAAGCTTCACTGTGGGACAGAGACACAACAGCTGCAGGAGGGAGGCAGAAGACCCTTACACCAGGGTGGTTGAAGCCTGTATTGGGTGCTTCTTTCCCCATCACTCCAAACCTCTGCTGTGCTGTCCTCAGCTGCCCTTGGGCACTGGGGGCTGGAGTGTGTCCAGAGAAGGGAACAGAGCTGGGGAAGGGTCTGGAGCACCAGAAGTAGCTGAGGGAGCTGGAAAAGGGGCTCAGCCTGTACAAAAGGAGGCTCAGGGGAATCCTGGCTCTGGGCCCAGGGAACAAGGGACAGGACACAAGGAAAGTGATGTCAGGGGAGGTTCCAGGGTAGGTGCATATCAGGGGAAATTTCCTCCCTGAAACGGTGGTCAGGCCCTGGCACACTTCCTGGAAATGTTCAAAACATGTATAGATGTAACACCTGGGGACATGGTTTAATGGTGAACATGGCAATGATGGAGGAAAGTTTGGGCTCAGTGATCTAGAGGGCTTTTCCAACTTATAAATTCCATGATTCTATGAATATCCTACAGAGGCTTGATGTGGTAAACCACATTTCAATGAAATGTTCTGGATCGAACAGTTCCTTCCTACAGTTGCATAAACCCAGTGGTGACAGCAGCACTATCCTGCAGGACATGCCACACTGACAGTCACCTCCTCTGACAGACATAGATTCCAGGTGCATTCCAACTCTTTATGGTCCCTTGAAGTGGAAGTTGAGCCCAGTATTCCTCTGCTGGTTTATCAGTAGCATCAGTGTTCTGAGTGAGCACAAACCTCCCACAAGCACTTCCAGCCAATTCCCTCTGCTCTTTTTAACAGAGTCAACAAAAAGGACATCACAGAGCAGACTAGATGTCAGGCTTTTTGTACCCAGACATGCTCACACTGCTTCTGCTTCAGCTACACCAGTAAATCCAGTGCTAAGGCCTTGCTGGGAGGCAGATTTGCTGCCTGTCTGGCACCCTGGTGCTTGAAGACTTCAGACCACCCGCTCCCACCTGGCACCCAGACAATGCCTCTGATCCTGGGCAGGGATCTGGGAGTACACCCCATGGAGAGAGGGCTTAAGTCACCCATTACACGGAGGATGGTGGACAAGTGACCCAGCCAGCTCTCCACTCCAAGCCAGAGGAGCAGGGGGGCAGCTCCCAGAGCATCCTGCCACGTGCCAGCCCTGCCCGCTGCTTGCCAGGACATGACAACCCATTACCTGCACCTGGCTGCTGAGTTTTTAATTCACCCCAGCCTAACGTGCCCCTCATCTTGCATCCTGACTGAGGACAGGAGGGTGCTTAGGGAGTCAGCAATGCGTGGGCTCTGCAGCACAGCCTCTGACACGCTGTGCTGTGAGCACCAGCACCAGGAAAATGAATGGCCGGGACCCCTTGAGGATGGGACCACACACTCAGACAAAGCTGCTCCATACAGAGACCAAAAGGACAAGCAAACCCTGCTATGAATTAGCACATTCTCCCTCCAGCTGTGCCCACGGGGCCATCCTCAGCCAGGCTCTTGGGCAGGTCTAGTGCCAGCCTGTCTTAGGATGCAGGATGCAGCTGGGGTGTGCATTCTATTCCCATCTGTCAGAGCTGGGACAGGTATCTTCTGTTCATTGGGCACTTTATCTCTTCCACAACCAAGCCTCCCTTCACGAGATTTCTTCTGTTCGTGGATTATTAATTATTAATTATCTTCTGTCCATGGGCCAGTGAGTGTCCCTGCACAGCTGAGAAAATTCCATCATCCATGGAGAGATGCTCTGCCCAGGGGAGGAGCCAAGCATTCCTACCTGGATCCAATCTGACCTGGGAACAGCACAGCAGCCTTTGCCCCCTGCATTCCCAGAGGAGCAGCTTCCTTCCCCCTGCATTCCCAGAGGAGCAGCTTCCTTCCCCTGCATTCCCAGAGGAGCAGCTTCCTTCCCCTGCATTCCCAGAGGAGCAGCTTCCTTCCCCCTGCATTCCCAGAGGAGCAGCTTTCTTCCCCCTGCATTCCCAGAGGAGCCCAGGCCCATCTCCCCCAGCCCTGGAGCTCCAGAGGAAAACTCCCCCCTTGTGCAGGATCCTGCTCCAGCAGAAGCACAGCTGGCACTGCAGGAGGGCTGAGCCACCCTGGGATGGGGCTGAGCCACCTCCCTGACCCACAGGCTGCCAGGGCATGCTCTGATGTTCTGACCCTGTCAGTGTGGTGTGTGGTTTTTTTGTTTTTTTTTTTTTGGTTTTTTTTTCTGTACTATTGCATTTGTATTTTTAGTTTTCCTAGTAAAGAACTGTTACTCCTATTCTCATATTTTTGCCTGAGAGTCCCTTAATTTCAAAATTATAATAATTCGGAGGGAGGGAGTTTACATTTTCCATTTCAAAGGAGGTTCCTGCCTTCCTTAGCAGACACCTGGCTTTTCAAACCAAGATATAACCCCACCCTGTAGACACCATAAGCAAAGCCCCAGGAGGCCATCCTGGTGCAGGCATGGGCCCTGAGCCATGGCAGTGGGTCCACCTTGGTATTATTTTATTTGCTCTAATAAAATCTCTCCGTCTCTTGTGACAGGGACACAGCCCTCTCCTCTAAACATCCTGGCTCAGGCCATGCCCTGTATGAAACCCGAAGGGAGCAAGCTGGGACACTTTCTGTGCAGATGGCCTCCTGCAGAGGGCTGTTAGAAAGACAGACCTCAAATCCAACCACATCCTAGGCTCATGGGGGGGTGGGGAGATTCTGCCCCTCTGTCCTGCTCAGCTGAGACCCCACCTATCTCCAGCCCTGGGATTCCAGCACAGCAAGGATGTGGAGCTGCTGGAGCAAGTCCAGAGGAAGTCACAGAGCTGCTGCAAGGGCTGGAGCCCCTCTGCTCTGGAGCCAGGCTGGGAGAGCTGGGGGGGTTCACCTGGGGAAAAGAAGGCTCTGGGGAGACCTTAGAGTCCCCTCCTGTGCCTAAAGGAGCTTTAGGAGAGCTGGAGAGGGACTCTGGACAAGAATCTGTAGCAACAGGATAAGGGGGAATGGTTTATCACTACCACAGGGCAGGGTTACTTGTGGTAGCAGGAAGAAATTCTTCCCTGTGAGGGTGGTGAGGTCCTGGTACAGGTTGCTCAGAGAAACTGGGCACAGCTGCCCCTGGATCCCTGGAAGTGTTCAAGGCCAGACTGGACAGGGCTTGGAGCAGCCTGGTCATGGAAGGTGACCCTGCCCATGGCAGAGGGTAGGATTGGATGAGCTTTGATGGTCCCTTCCCACCCAAACTTGTCTGGGATTCTAGGATTCTGCAAAGGATTTCCCATTTTCAGCCATACACATGCTGATCTCTCCATGGTGCTTTGTTAGATGAGCTTTCATCATTAGTTTCTTAAACCCCTCAGCAGCCTGACTGCTCCTTTTGGATCCTGGCCCAATGACCCAACATCCCCTGAAGAGCTGGAGAAGGGAATTACAGTGATGAACAAGCTCTTGTTGAAAGTTATTTGTGCACTTTATGCTAATCCCCTTCAGTGATGACTTTTGATATGATGACAAATGGCTGGGCAAGTAATCCACTCCCTAGCAAGCCTGAATTTACTTCAGCAAATGTACCTGCTAATGGATTTGAACAGTGCTGGGAAATACCACATGGCTGGGCAAGGTGACACGGAAACCAGGCAATGAACCCAAGCAGGTCCCTGAGCCAGCCAGGGCACTTGCAGCAAGAGGAAAAACCACATCTGTCTTTTCTTTCTTCTAAGAAATGAGAATTTCCATCTGCAGGGTAGCAAGGGCATGCTTCCACAAAGGAAGGCTGGGGTAAGAAAGGAATCACCTTAAACATACACAGCAAAAAGGGGGAAACCCCTCAGGTTTATTTTATTTATGACTTTCCTGTGATGGATACTGCAATGGATTGGTTCAGACTCTATGTGTTTAAAGAAAAGCAGAGTGTCAGATGAGAGGGGAGGCATTCCTGCTGCTGTCAGCATTGAGCAGAGCCACCCTGCAGTAACCTGGAATCACGGAATGTCAGCACCATTAAGGTTGAAAAAGCCCTGTAAGAGAAGAACGATGAAGGGGGAAGGGTCTGGAGCACCAGGAGGGGCTGAGGGAGCTGGGACAGGGCTCAGCCTGGAGCAAAGGAGGCT